GGGAGCCCCCCCCCCCCCCCCCGCCCTCTCGATTGCATATCTGTCGAGCGAGCTGTTGCCTGCCATTGCCATCCTGTTTCTTTGCGATCACCAGTACCCACTTCCCACAAGCTTCCCACACTGCCAGAGGCCACGCCACTTGCCTCATCCGCGCAGAGGTCCTCGCGCGCTCTTCTGCTTCGACATGACACGGCACCGCACACGCATCCACACACCGCACACGCACAGACATGCTTTCTCTCCCCGCTCAGCCTTCTGCTCCATCTTAAGTATCGTCAGCCAATAATGTTTTCGCTTCATCACTCCAATCTCCCAACATCTTCTTCCTTTTGCTGTGCTTCGGCATCGCCATTCTTTTCTCGTCTCGTTACGCCTCTCTGCCCTTCCACCCTCTTTGAAGAGACACGGGTCCATACACTCTGCCAGCAGCGTCGCCTCCACACTTTCCCCTCTCTTTCCCTCATCCTCGTCATGCTCACCTCATCCGCATCCAACCCCATCCCCCCCTGCTCTGCCTGAGATCAAAGTTCACAAGTGCTTGTCCTGGTTTTCGCTGATCGCGCTCAACATCCCTGGCAGTCGTCTGCTGGTGGGCACCCACTTGGCGCGTACAGGCGCAAACACCAACACATGCCTTCTTGTCTTTCAAAGTTCTTCCAAAAGCCCCTTTTCCTCCTCCCCCCCCCATGTCTCTTTAGAACACCTCGCCCCCTTGCCCGACCGTTCCCACATGACTCGTCCGCACGTGCAAACAAACCCGGAGAGAGTTTGGGCCTGCACTGGCGAACACGAACACGATTCAAAGGATCACAAAAGACACATGTTGATCTCCTCGCTGCCCCACACCCTCTTCCTCAATCTCGCGCGTCCCCACCCCACCCTCTCCCTTTGGCCGAGTAACTACATCTTGACTTGAGACTTGTCACGCTGTGTCCATGCACTTGTGCATCCTTCATTCCCGCCGGCCACGCCCCTTCGCTTGCACTCCTCTCCATGACCTTGTCATTCCACAATCTTATGCCACCCCCTTGATCCTCTCCGTCCGTGTCCATGTGCCCGCATCACCACTGGTTGATGGACCACCACCACAATCAACAGTTGTAGCGACCAACCTCCACACGCCTCTCGATCGCAGCCTTCCCGTCATTTCAATTCTCTGCCCACACAACACCCTGTCTATGTGCACTGATGCGATCTTGATCGATCCAGCTCCAATGCCATGCCATGAGTCATCATTTCCACCACCCAACACCCGCTTTGCATGACAATGGGTATCCCCCTCCTCTCCTCCTTAAGCTTGACTGCATTATGCTTACTCTTTTTGCTCTCGCTCACTTTTCCATAGAAATCCTTTTCCTTCTTCTGTTCTCTTTCTTTCTCTTTTTAACTTCCTGCCCACGCCGAAACCCAGCACCAACGTGCTTACGTTTCTCTGGTTCATCATTACTAGCAGCAGCACTAGCAGCATCCTCTCAACTCCTTCTGCAGCATTTTTCTACTTGCAATAGTTTTCGTCACGCCGTCTGAAGATCGGACCATTGACCATTTTTGCCTGTGCTCTCCACCTCGGCATCAAATCGCACATGCCTCTAACTGCCGTCCCCAACACATCAACACTCGGTGATCTTGATCTCGACGTGCCCGCCATCCAAGTGAGTCAGATTCCCAAACCCCACTTCAAACTCGTTCCTTCTGGAACTGCACGCTTGTTGTTCCAGTGAGACAGATCCTGAGACCTGGGTTGTTTCCTTTGGCGCCGACGCTTGCATTCTTTCTTGGGAGTTTCAGATCCGATCTGTCGTTGCAAGTGCAAGTCTTCCTTGTGGTATCCATTTCCCCTCTCCAAACACAATCGGTCGCTACGTCTTCCCTTGCTTTTCATGCCCATGACTTGTGTTCGTGGAACGAAAGAATGATATCTTCAAGCCCCCACCTCGCCCTTGCATCTTTCTCTACTGTTGTCGCACTCTCTTTCGCGTCTTCTCCTCCTCCATCAAGAGTGCACGAGCTTGTCCACCCATGCCTGCGAGTACTTTCTTTCAAACCTCTCTGCGTGGCTGTCATACCTCATGGTTCAAACCGTGTGCCAATCCCTTTCGCAGATCACATCCATCCACAATCCAAGCGTGCTTCATCCTGCTTTCTACCTCGGGTGCCACACACAACGTGGTACACCTCAGGCAGGTTATAGGCTTCAATCCTGCTTTTGAGCTCATTCAACCAAGAGACAGCGTGCCGCTCTCCCTCCACAACGGCCGGACTGCTGTCTTGTTGGTCTGACAATCAGTCACCACCAAGGCGTAAGCTTGCCAAATACTATCAAGCCGAGCCAATCGTGGCTCTCGTGCTGGACTCATCGGCCGCGTGAACAGCAACAGCGGTCAACATCACCCGCAAGACGCCGCCCACCGTTGCCGCGGGTGGCGTTGCGTCGGCCGCGCCATCGGCAGACGCCCACCGTCGGATGGCAGCGGCAGCAGTTCGACACTTGCTACGACAAAGCCAGACTTTGGCTTTGCCAACGATTAGTCTCGCCACTGCCGCCGCTGCTGAACAGACTGTACCTGTAACCGCAACAAAGCCCATGTCTTCCCAAAGTTCTGCGGACGTACCTGCCAAGATGGATGCATCTTCCCCGTCACCACCGCCCACGGCCCACAAGGCGCACTCATCATCTACTTCTCCCTCTGCCTCACCATCCTCGGACCACGACGAGCGACTGTCCGCCCGCGATGCAGATTTATCGGCCGGTGAGCAAGTGGACACCGCCGAATCACCTGCTTCAAGCGTCTCAACTCGCACGCCTCAACAACAAAGCCAGACCGAGGTCACAGGGCTTGGTAGCCGCGCGACCAGCCATCAGGACAGCAAGTGCAACAAGGAAGATGCAGAGGAAACCCCAAAGAGCCCAAGAAAGCGCCCAAAGCGGTGCGAATCCTCCGAGACACACGACGTCAAGCAGGCCAACGGGCCCAGCAAAGCTCTTGCGCACAAGGGAAGAGGCAAGTCCAAGCCCAAGGCCAAACCAAAGGCATCAGGCTCACACGCAACGGGCAATCAAAACCCAAACACGGGCTCAACCACAACAACGGCCCCGACTCCACCCACCACAGTGGTAAACATTCAGGCCACATCAGTGGATACGAGAACAGAGACGGACACGGATCTGAGCAAGAGCAAGAGCATCAGTCAGAACAAAACTAAGACCAAACCCAAGAGTTCTTTGACAACAGATATTCCTGGCGGACTGACGAAACAGTCTTTGCGCACGTCACCTGTTCTCGGTCAGAGTACAACGTTTATTGAACACCCAGTGCTGGCTGACTCGCGCAGTACCGCCGTAAAAGCCGATTTGACCAAGACAACAGACTCCTTGCGCGCAAACTCTGATTCAAGTCAGCCTCCCGAGACTTCGAAGATGCCGCGCATGGTTGAGGGTAAAGACCCATCCCGACTCTTTTGTCGCTACTGTGGTCGGCGCTTTCAGACAACTGCCCACGTTAGGTGAGCCTCTTGTCAACCACTCTCTCTCTCTCTACATACCAACCACCATGCACGCGCATTCGCGCTGCCATGATGTGAGCTCTGCGTGATACCGAGATTCCATACGCTCACCACGTGTTGAAGAATCAATGACCAGAGTTGTGACATGTCACATGTACATGTCTGCAGAAACTTATGTCGTGTCGAGTTCGCCGTTTGTCCTTGTTGGTGGTTGGATGTGTATCGTGTAGCACACAAACCTCAAATACATCGACTGTCCACCATCGTCCATCCAGTCATGCTGCAACTATTCAACACAAACCCGTTCGGGATATCGGACTGGCGGACTCGATGCTGCAACTTCAGCAAAACTCGATAATCTGACTTTTGTTGGCCTCCTCGGCTTTTTTGTCCATAGGCGCCACGAACGCATCCACAGTGGTGAAAAACCTTTCAAGTGCCGTGTGTGTGGCAAGGCCTTTAATCAGGTCTGCTCTTCGAAACTTGCGATGCCTTTATCCGATTTTTGGGACTGAAGTCATGCACAAAGCACCGTTGGACCGTTTGCCTGGCTATCGCGCATGTCCACCTTCAATGTGTCGTGCTGATCCGATGGTATTGATGTGGCGCAAACCCAACTCTCTTAGCGCGGGAATCGCAATGTACACGAGCGCTCCGCCCATGGTCATGTGCAAGCCGATCCCCACCATGACTCCCCTGGTGCGTACCTTTCCCTTTGTCGCCATTTTACCATGCAAACACCACTTTTACTCTTGAGCCACAGCCCATACTCGGGAGAGACATGGCCCATTTACATTAACATGAGGCGCTCTTTTGGTTTCCTCCACCCACGTTGAGCTCGCCACCCACGGCCTTGCGGCTGTTCATGACCCTCTGCCGAAATATTGTCTGACATTATTTTTGATTCTGCCACGCGGAGGCTTGGATCTGACACGAGCCAGGACAGACTGGGCACTGTTGCATCTCAAAAGAAAAGCGTGCTTGATGTCTTGCCTCTCCCTCTTGTTTTCTGCTCCATCTCTGCCTCCTCCACCTCTCATCCTTGCTGTTCACAACCTCAATTGGTCAAATGGGTGACGTCGTTGCTTCTCACTCCTTGTTACACGCCTGCACTTTTTTTTTGTTACCATAGGAGTGTCACTTGCAGACCGCCGACCAGAAGTGCGACCAGACGGCAGCGGCTCGGGACGCACTGACAACGGCACGGCATTGGGTCATGTGCCATCACTCTCGATGGTGGCGCCCAATCCCTGGGGTTTCAGTGCCGGTGCACTTCCACAGCCCTCTGGAAACCCAGCAAACATGTCGCCATTCCTAATTCCCGTGACGTACGCCTCGGGCTGGCCGTGGAATCCTTCCATGGCCGCTCTTTCCATGATGATGCCTCAAACCAACATGATGAACTGGGGAGCCATGCCTGCCGCATCAGCCAGCTCACCAACCGCGGCCGCGGCCACTTCTCCTGCCATTGCCAATCAAGCCAACCTCATGGCCATGATGCAGCAGTGGATGCAAGCGTCTGGCATGCCTTCCATGCCCTCCACTGCCACGAATTCGTCGAGTTGACGATCTCTACAAGAGTCTGTGCCTCACAGCCGGATAACAATTTGGGACACCCGCATATAGCGGCCGTATATAGCGACCCTGATTTGCGTGCTGCTGTGATTGTGTTGTTTTATAATGTGCTTGTGAATCGCCTTTTCGCGGCGCCTGTTGATATTGCACGTGTCAAATGGCACACCACATCTGTCATTGTGCTGGTTAGGCTTAGCTTCATTGTTGCTTGGAACTAACGACACTGTTGGCCGCCTTTGTTCAAGTGTCGCCCCCCTCTGCAACTCGATCACCTACTGGCTTCCTGTCTTTATCCTCAAGGGCCAGAGCCCGTTTTACGACCGCCTCGCCCGCTGCACGGCGCGAGCACCTTTTGCAATCACGATGAGGCTATGAACAATCTCGCAAGAGATGGCATCAACCTGGGTGTGGCCCGGAGCGCCCATTCATCTCTCTTGTTTTTCTCGCTGGATCATGTGTATTGACTGATATGCGAATACTTTGTGCCCTTTTTGGCTGGCTGGTTGGTTTGCTTCAACTCGATGCCAATTTCAGTGCACCTTTTGATTTCAATGATCAATGAATGCAAGTTCTCTCTGATCATTCACCTTGAGAGGCAGCCGGAGTGGCCAGGCACTGTGTAGCGTCATTAATTCCCGCCTCCCTGTCACGCAGTGGCGCGGTCGGCGGGGTCAAGGAAAATATGGCGCCTTCAATCAAAGCAAGGATCAATCAAAAGGGACAAGACAACATGGTATATCATGGGCACTGCGGCACTGCCGCACCACTCGCCAAACAAACTGGTTCCATCCCAAGACAGCGGTCAAGTTTTATCGAGGGGCCGTGGCGATCAGGCTTTGAATTCGTGAAAGTACCTGCGTTGTGTGAATGTTTGAGGGAGGGAAACAAGGCACATCTGTGAGGTCAACTTAAAAAGTGTGGTGCCGCGACAGCATCAGCAAAGTGAGGCAGCGTTTTACCTGTGAGTTGAGCGGGTGCCGGTAGTTTGATCCATCCGAAGCATCATCAGCACCGTCGTCCTCAACATCCAAGTATTCGCCCTCATCGTTGCCTGGGCCAGCGCGATCTTGGCCCTGGCTGTAATTGGGTTCAAAGCCATACTGCGTTGATCGACGTCGCTGCGCTTCGTCAGGAAAGCCAAAGTCAATCGAGGATCCTCGTGCACGCGCGTGGGCTGGCGCTGGCGGCATGGAAAGTTTGCGTTCGAAATTGGACTGCAATTCAGCGGCCGAGATCAGGTCAGCCCCGTGATGGTGGTTTAGCACCGCACGTGATGGCTGGGTTGATGAAGCATTGACATCATACACCTCTGGGGCATAATCCGCGTCAGGGCCGAGTCCGCGCGCATACTGATGCATGTTGGGTTGAATGGACGGCGCAGGACCCCCCATACTGCTTGCTAGAGCTTGAAGTTGCGAGGAGCGCTGCTGCGCTTGAGCGTGGCGATTACGCAACGCCTGCTCCTGAGCAGCCAAAGCCTGCGCTTGCTGTGCCAGTGCGGACTGTTGAAACTGAATCTCCTGCAACTGGGCCTCACGCTCCTGGCGTTTTTGCTCAGCAAGATCCAAGGCCTCGGCCACCGCATTACGCATGGCGATGAGGTCAGCCCGCAGTGTGGCGTTTTCGTGCAGAAGACGTGACGTGGTATGAACTTGAGGTCCCAACAGTGAGCCCGAGGAGGAGGGGGGCGCAGCTCGTTGACGCTGCCACTCATTCTGCATTTGCTGCTCTTGCGCAGCATTCAGGGGAGGGTAGAGCATATGGGCTGGTGCGGCGGACGCGTGTGTCGCCGGGTGTGCGGACTGGACAGGCATCGGGGCCTCCTTGGCAGGGTGCAGGGGTTTAGTAGACTGAGATGTGGGCATTTGTTCCAACGCGGACCCAAAGCCGTAATCCCCCGACATGCGAGGAGGTAGGGGCTGACCAGCGGCTGCCGGTGCGGTTTCGGCCAGGCGCGAGTAGGTTGCATTGGCCGATGCAAAAGATGGAAAGGAATCGCGTGGACGGGCAGCTTGTCGCGCATGTGCGCGCGCTGCTGCCGAGGGTCGAAAAGTTACGCGCTCTGGCGTGGACGCCGATGATGTCGATGAAGCAGATTGAGCGGCCGCGCGAGCGCGAGCTGCAGCACTGCCCCGTACCGTGGGCTTGGCTGACTGTAATAACTCTTGGGCTGTGGGCGGCGGAGGTGGAATGTCTGTATCCAGAGCGGGTGAAGCCGCTGGGACTACAGGCGGGGAACTTTGTGCACCATGCGAAGTCAATGGTTTGGTGGCCTTCATATCGTCCTCTGCACTGAGGCGAGGTCGATTGCTGGCAAAGGGTGTCGGTCGCTTCTTGAGATTTCGGGGTCCATTTTGGGACGACACAGCACCTTCGGCCTTCCTCTCCGGCATGGTGGGGAGGGCTGGCTTCGGAGCTGCCGTGGCGGGGGCACCTTGTTTGTTTTTCTTATCTTGTCCCCGAATCACGGTGACTTCGTCGGCAAAGGAGACGCTGCGGTTAGAGAGCTTGCTGCCTCGGCGATCAGCAGAGTCATCCAGGTCATCATCCATATCCTTGTCGAGAGGTGAAACGCTGCTACGTGGTGATATGGCTTCGTCGGGAAAGCCCGTTACGTCTTGTTGTGTGATGAGGGCCGAAATCAAATCGTTGGCCTGATCCACGTTCAGAGACTTTTGTGGTGTGGGTGAGCGCATAGCCGCTTCATCAACCTCCGGGCTCAAATCAACGACCTGGTGTTCATCGGGCGACTATCGGGTGGGGTGGAACAAGATGGTGGAAAACAAAGTGAGGGGGGTTTTTTTTTTAAAAAAAAGAAAAAAGAAAAAAAGAAAAAAAGGACACCTCCCCCGAGCAGGATTTGAGGATGATGCCACATAAAAACGGTCAAGGGACTGGGGCTGGACTTTGTAAGGCGTGTCGATGATGAGGCGCACCGTTTCAAACAGGTCAAGATCGACTTGCAAGGGGTCAAAGTCATCCTGGTTGTGATTGTCAGCGGCCCAACCAATTGACGCGGGTGCCTGCGGTGGCACAATGTGATCGCGTGCACCGCCAGGCGTTGGGCTGCGCTTGGGCTCAGGTGAAGTTACTTTGCTTGCTTCAAAGCCATCCATGATTGCCGCTGATGCAACACTCCTGTTGCAATCAGCGAGAAACAAAGGGTGTCAGCAAGGTGTGTGTGTGTGTGTGTGTGTGTGTGTGTGTGTGTGTGTGTGTGTAAGGGGGGTTGGGGTTGGGAGAAGACGCGTGTGACAAAGGAACGAAAGCACTGCACAACTTACGCGAGCACCTGCTCGAGCTCCGTAAAAGCATCTGCAGAACTCAGACGAGACTCGACCGACTGCATGGAAGTTTTAAGGAGTAAGGCAGGGGTGAAGATGAGGAAAGAAGGGTCAAGAGATGGGGGAGGCATGGGCGGGTCAGGTCAGAACTGGACAGGTCTCGACGTACGGCAAAAGTGGGGCGGTCTTTGGGATCGTGCGACCAACAGTCAACCATGATCGAGTAGGCATCGTCTGGGCAAACTTCAGGCTGAGGCAGAATACCGCCTTCCTGCATTTCGACCATGGTATCTAGGTACTGCTGTGGATCTGTCCAGGTGCTTTTGCCATATGGGATACGGCCTGCCATGCAGCGGGCGGGGCCCGAATCTCAGTTGTGGGACGATAAAGGGATTTCTTTCTTGAGATGTTTCTGAGCGACGTGCGAGAACGCACCTTTGGTGTAGATTTCGTACAACAAAAAGCCAAAGCACCAGAGGTCCTCGGCTGGATTGACGCGACGAATACTGCCCTCGGTCATACCCACTTCAGGGGGCGACCAGCTAGGACGGATCAGAATCGAGGTGAGGCTGCTGGCATAAGGCAAAGGTCACCGCCGCACCGGGGCGATGCGTACCGCATGAGTAAGGTACCGGCCGGCGAAGTATAAAAGCCATCTGGCGCCTTGTCCGTGGTGGCCTGGGTGCGGACCGGGCTGGTGAGAAAGAGGCGTGTCGCATTCGACAAACCAGCAGGAGGCATGGTAGATACTGCTGCAGCTTGCTTCTGACCTTTTCGCGACCTAGATTGGCAATTTTGCACTGAAGAGAGGGGTTGAGGTAGATGTTTCTTGAAGCGAGATCCCAATGCACGACTTTTTGCCTAGAAAACAAATCAAGAAAAGGGGTTTACAAATGCTCGAGAGTGAGGAAATTCTTGCTTCTTTGCTTGTTTGGCAAGGGCGCAAAGAACAGAGCGGGAGATTTTACCGATGGAGGTAATTCATGCCTTTGCAGATGTCAACGGCAAATTTTCGTAGGATGGCGGCATCAAGATCCTTTTTGAGATAGCTGTGTGAATCGGTGGGTGAGCTCTGCGCCAACAAGAATCATTTGGAAGCGCGGCACAAACGGGTCAGGGCAACAGACCGGATGAGGCTTCCGGTGCTGATGTCCTCATGGATGAGCATGACGGGGGGGCCTGGGCGGTGCATGCCGATCAGCTTGAGAACGTTTGGATGATCAAAATGGCTGAGCATGGCAGCTTCCTGGAGACGGAGTAGCGGAATTATTGACAGATACGGAGCCAGAAGGAAGAGGCGATGTGGCGCCAGCGGTAGAGGTTGGTAACAGTAGCAAATATTCGAATGAGAACTGTGAAGACTGAAGTGGAGAAAGGTTCCGTGTGGGTTGCGCGCAGTTGCTTGCACGACTGAAGGCGCGCGATACAAACCTTGGTGAGCGCCTTGATGTGCAACACTGTTGCATCAGTGGAAAGAAGTTTGACGCCAACATCTATGACCCGCGAAGCCGCATCGGCTCCACCTGAGCGGAGGCGACATTGGCCCTTGTACCAGCCTAAGGTCACGAGGGCCAGGCCATGCCAAAGTGGGGTATGGTCAGAGCATGGGAGGGCTCGAACATTGTGCCAAAGCCAAGGGATGCGAGACAAACCAAAGCATCCTTCGGTGCGGTCGAGGGTCAAGAGCTTGATGTCGTCACGCTTGATGGCCACGACCTTACGGTCGCTAAACTGCGCCTGCGCCAACCCACCAGTCAGTCAGGTGAGATGAAGCAGGGTGCCGGAGGCAAACGGAAAGGAAGGGGCACTGGCCAGCCAAGAACCGGTGTTTGCGGCCATCATGAATCGAATGCGCTGACCATGTTGGTTGTAAGGTCAATCTAGCTCGAACGACGGCGACGGCAACCCGTGCCGCCACACCTGGTGTGGTGTGGTTGATGCTGCTGCTGGGAGCTGATCTGGTCGAAAACTCTTGAGGGCCGGATGCTAGCGAGGCTACGACTTTTCCAGATACAACTCCTCGTGTGGCTCGAGCCAACAGCTTGCATCTGTCGCGCACTACACCCCCATACAAACCCCCGTCGCTGCCAGTCGGATCAAGTCGAGCGCCAGACGAAGACGGCCACAGCGCCAGCTGGGGGCGGATCCAATTGGCCCAAACACCTGTTGCGAACAACACACCCCCGCCCGCTACAAAGCATGCAAATAATCACACTCTTGCATCTGTGTGTGTGTGTGTGTCAAAAGCAGTTTTAGAGAGAGAGAGAGAGAGAGAGAGAGAGAGAGAGAGAGAGAGAGAGAGAGAGAGAGAGAGAGAGAGAGAGAGAGAGAGAGAGAGAGAGAGAGAGAGAGAGAGAGAGAGAGAGAGAGAGAGAGAGAGAGAGAGAGAGAGAGAGCCAATTTTCTTGTGAGAGAGAGAACTCCGCAGTGTGTGTGCTCTCTCGTGTCGGTCTCTCCGTGTCACGCGCGCAGGGTGTTTTGGGGGTTGAAACGGACGGGCGGACATCATGTCGCACAAGGGTACGTTGGGGACTGGGGTGCTGTGCTAGCCTTGGCGGAGTGGGGTCGTGCAAGGGCAAGAGAGGGAGGGCGAGGGAGGAAAAAGGTAAAGCAATGGCAAGGATGAGGCACTGATGTCTTGGTGTCGCCTCGTGGGCTCGGCTCTTGTGACTGATCGTCTGTCATGCTGCGCTGTTTGCCTGTTCATTCACCGCCCTGTGTGGTCAACCTCTTGACTTGGGGTCTTGAAAACGTTGTCGTCCCGTTACCTCTGCTGCTCATCTCTTGGATGGGACAGTGTTTGGCCGGGCCCTCTCGGGCGCCATGAACCAAGGTGAGGTCCTCAACAAACGTGTGTTGCTCCATGAGCCACTCGAGCATTCACTCACGCACTCTCCCACTTCTGCTGTCATCTCGTACGGGTTGTCTGACAGGCGGCATGAATGTTCGTGGTCGGGTGAGTGAAAGCTCCGAGTCGCTACTGTGAATCAGCCAGCTCCAGCAGCGCCGACTTCCCCCCCCCCCCCCCCCAAAAAAAAAAAAAACAAACACCATCCTTTATTTCTTCTCGCTCATCACAAAGCCGTCTTGGCTCATCTCAGGGCACACGCCGAGCCCCTGGAAGTGGTGGACACGTCTTCTGACCGCTCCAGTGCCATGAAGAAAGGTGGACGTGGCAAGAATATCACCAAGGTGGGCGTGCTTTTTCCTCGTCGGCGAAATACAATGCCAAACAGCAAAAGCGCGGAAGCGGCCTCTTCTGCCGTTGGCCCACACCAGTCTTCTCCTCTCTTTCCGGATTTTTGTGCCCAAGGGTCTGAGCCTTGCTCACCTTGCGACTTGGTTGGGAGTGCAGACAACAGTGGTTATTGATACTCAAGCAGGCGGTGGCAAGGGCAAGGGCAAGGGCAAAAAAGGCAAAAAGGGCAAACGCCTTCAGCGAAGTAGGTGGCGCAAGCATGTTTTGCCCGTGTCACAATGCCAGCTTTTTTTGTGCCTTTGCCCTCTGGTTACCTCACCTCTGACCAATGCTTGCCTGGCTTCTGTCTCTATATAGTCGCTGAATCCATGGCGGAGCAGATGGGTAACGTCAAGTACCGCCTGCAGGTGCGTGTGTGCGTGTGTGCGTGCGTGTACGCCCGTGCCACACCGGCCCCGGATGACCCTGCGTGAGATCATATTTTGCTCATAATCCGAGACGCCGACCCTCCTCCCACCATCAGGTGTCCAATCCCGCCAAGGGTGATGCTGCAACCATCTGGCAGATGATTTCCAACTCGATTAGCGAGCCTTGCCAAGTCATTGACGTACGTCCTTCCTATACCATCCGCGTTAGCGCACGTTGCAATACAACATGGCGAGCTCATTTCTATTCGCACACTGCTGTCATCGTTTCAGACCCGCACCACCAACAATTCAATCTTTTTCACACTGGGGGGCAAAGATGAGCGTGCTGCCCGTGCCATCAAGCGCCTCGACAAGCGCCTCAACGTAAACGGACATCAGGTGGGTCTAAGCTTTGAATTTTGAGGTGGCAAGGATAAAGGGTGGCATGGCCACGCTGTGTATGTGTGTGTGTGTGTGTGTGTGTGTGTGTGTGTGTGTGTGTGTGTGTGTGTGTGTGTATGTGTGTGTGTGTGTGTGTGTGTGTGTGTGTGTGTGTGTGTGTGTGTGTGTGTTAAACATGGTGGTTTTGCACTTCCAGGCGACCATCAAGCTGGAAAAAATTGTCGTCAAAGCCAGCGCTTCTGCCGTCGAAATCCCTTTGGTATGCACGCGTATTCCGTCTCTTTGGACAGAGTTTGCAGGTGCTGTTGAAGATGGAAACCAGCCTTTCTGGTTCCTTGATCATCATTTTTTATTTTGCATGCGCTTGTGCAGCCGGTCTTGTCTCAACGTTACAACCCCAGCGACAAGTGTCTCATGCTCCCAGCCCTTATGCAAGATCCTGGCATGGTGCGTGATGCGAGGGCCATCAGGTTTAGTGCTGTCCTTCTTCTTCTTTGTGTGATTCCTGGTCACTTACCCTCGTTCCTTCCAGGCTGACTTGCGCTCGATGCCCAACGGCATGGGCAACATTAACGTCGCCAACGGCATTATCAATGCCATCCAGAAGAATTGTGCCGACCTCGTGACGCTGGACATGACAAACAACGACATCACATCGCTTGCTGCCTGGCGTCGCTTGGGCTCTGTGGCCAAGAACCTCACCAACTTGAGCTTGGCTGACAATGGCATCAAGGTAGGAGGGGGCACAACCTTGAGCCTTTTGGAAAACAAACATTATGTGGCACCTGCTGTCTGCACGCATGCGAATTTGCAGATCATGACAATGCCCTTTGCTCAAGTGCGCGTGGCTTATTTTATTTATTGATTTATTTTATTTATTTATTTATTTATTTATTTTTTGGTATAGAACTTGAGCGAGCTCCAGTTTTTGCGCACGTGTAGACAAGTGACGCACCTCGTGCTCAAGGGCAATCCAGTCTTGAATACCATGTCCAACCGCAGCGCTTACGAAAAGCAAGTGCTGAAATATTTCAAGGGTCTGAAGCTCCTGGATCAAGAACCCATTACCACCACTTTGGCCCAGGGTCAGTGTACATACTTGTTCCTGCTGCCAGCGGGCGCTTCTCATTTGCAATATGTGTGTTCGTGTACGGATGGCACGTTCCTCACGTCTCTTGTCGGTCAACAGCCAAGCAAGGTGGTCAGGGCGAGCTGGTCGACCAAGTGTTGCTTCCCGCTGAGCGATGCAACGTGCCGACCCCAGAGATTCGTCAAAATCTCATCGCCTTCTTGGCACAGTAAGTTTTAACTTTGCAATCCAGCGGTAATGATTTTTACAGCAAAGTCTAGACTTGGCCACACACGCGCTCAAGACGTTTTTCGGCTTAGGTTCTTCACACAGTATGATGGTGGACCAGCGGCCCGAGCAAGCTTGCAGCATCTGTACGCCGACAATGCAGCGCTGACTCTTTTAGTCCCAAGCATCGGTCATGGCGGGTGCGTTGCTGTTGCTGCTGCTGTTGGGAAGAGCTGGGCTTCTTTGCTTTGCCCGCTCTCGTTTGCTCGATCAGCTGGACGGACTTGCAAGCTTACGCCCAGTTGTTTTTATTTCCTCATTCCCCTTGTCCGTTGCTGCTGTCTTTAGAACGGGTTTGGCTCGGTACAATACCACTTCAAAGAAGAAGATGAAATCCATCAACGTGACCAAGCGCGGTACGTTGGATGCCTCAGTTCAGTCAAGATGCTTCTTGGTTTTTCAGAGGTTTCGAGGGGCCACTCGAGTGGGGTTGACCTCGTGGCCTTGCTCTGCAACTTTTTGTTGCCCTCATGACAACGTGCTCGCCTTCAGGCCCACGCGACATTGTCAAGCTGATCGAGCACCTTCCCAACACGGTGCATCAGAACGCTGCCGAGCTGTCCATGGTATGAGTGTGCCCCAGGCCCCAGGTCTGGGCATGTGGCTTGGACTTGTTGAAGGTTCTCTCTTGGGCTGTGCCATGACAACTTGGTTTGCATTGCAGAATGTGCTCAAGATGGATGCCTCGGAAGTCTCGTTTGAGGTTTCTGGCCACTTTCAGGAGCCGCGCCCCAAAAGCAAGCCACTCTACCGGGCTTTTCGCCGCACCATGACCATCCGCCCCAGCCTGCCCGGCTCGCCCCAGGTGTGTACCATTTGCTACTGGGTGATCCGCGGTTGCATATCCGCAATGGAGTGTTGGTTTTGCACGTCATGTTCTGACTTGATGATTGAACCACTTGGGATGTGGCGTGGCATGGCGTGGCAGGCTGCAGGTGGCTGGGAGGTTGCGTTGGTCGGAGACAAGATCGAGATTGTCAATGACCCCGACTTTCAGCGTGTCATGTATGCTGGTTCACAGGGTGCTGGTGCGGCTGGCACGGCTGGTGCCGGGATGGCTGCCAGCATGGCCGCAGCAGCGCCAGCCGGTGGTGTGCCTGATCAGGCCACGCAACAGATGATGGTCATGCAACTGTCTCAAATGAGCGGCATGAACCAGCAGTTTAGCACCGACGTAGGTCCTGGCCCCTCGTCTGCCGCATTGTTGTTGCCTATCCATGGTGACCTTGCTGTCACTCAAGTGCCGTGCTGTCATGCTATTCATGCCCTTGATCCTTTGTACTTGTGTGTCGCAGTGCTTGGCCAACAACGGTTGGAACTACGATGCTGCTGTGGCCAACTTTCAGCAGCTGCAAGCTGGCGGACAAATCCCACCTCAAGCGTTTACCTCATGAGACAGACGCCACCTTGCTTTTCAGAATCAAGTTGACATCCTCCCCCTCTCCTCCTATCCTTTCACTCACCCTTGTGACTGTGCTCAATGCCCCACCTTACCCCCTTGAAATACAATGACCAAACTCACTCAGCACCACACACTTGTAGTCATGATGCGACAAAAGGGTGACAAAGATGTCATGGTGTGTTGCACTGGCTTGCTGTTGGGCGCTGACAATAGCATTGCTTCTGCTTTGCAAGATCGCAGAGAGAAGCAGAGAGAAGCAGAAAGAAGATTTCAGATGAGAGAGGAGTGAGAGAGAAGAGAGAGAGAAAGAGAGAATAAAGAGCAAAGACAGAAAGGAGAGAGACAGAGACAGAGACAGAGAGACAGAGACAGAACGCGAATGAAGCGTTACGTTATGCGATTTGGCTCCAAGTTGTTGTTGTTGTTGTTGTGTGTGTGTATTTTTTTTTTTTTTGAATTGGTTGGCTCTGCTACTACTTACGCCCCAAGCGCCCTCTCCTCCTCCTCCTCCTCCTCCTCCTCCTCCTCCTCCTCCTCCTCCTCCTCCTGCTTCGCCTCTGTCTCTGTCTCTTTGTTGCGGTGCACAAAGGACCAGATCCTTCAGACCAAGCAGAGTTGGGGTGCATAAGCGAGTGATATTCGAGATTGGCGCCCCTGTTGATCTCTTTGGGTTGATCGATCTCAGACGTAAACACCATACGGGCGCGCGGAACCAGCTCGATCTCCGACGATCGGTAATGACTGCCGCCTCACGTTTTAAAAGAGGCCTCGGCTCTGATCAACTAATGTCTCTGTCTTGCGTTCGTGTCAATCTCGCACCCGTTTGTATACGCAGGCCAACATATCGCCTTTGCTCCGGTTCACCACTAGCGCAGCCCGGGTGCCACACAAGTGCACCCGCAGCTGTGCGCCGTTTGGTAGGACCCTGGACTGCAACCAGCAAGCGACGCTCGTCACCACTTTGCTTGCTCACCGTTGCCACTCATGCACACCAGCGCAGCCATACGCACCAGCACAGCCATCATCGTGGCACTTCAACATCCACCCAGGCTCTCCCCAGAAAAACTGCAAAAATGGCTGTCCTCGCGACCTGCCATGACTGTTGAGAACAGCACGGCAGTTCTAAACCTATATTGGGCCCTTTGCATCTTTTGCTACACCTTGGGAGTCGCTGCGTCATTAGTCCAGCTTCCCCACCATACTCAACTTCTGTCAGAGCCACGGCACGCTCAGCCTCGACAATACAAGTGACCGAGCCACCATGTCGTCTCTTCCACCGCTGCGCTCCTCCTCGGTTGCCTGGGGCGGCATGCCTATTGGCTCACCCAGGTACGGCTTGACTTTGTATTTACCCAACTGAGCGTAATGTTTGGCCCCATGACGAGACGAATTCGGCTGGCTTTTAGTCGGAGCTGGAATCTCGAGTACATCCCCTCGTCGCCCGGCGATGAATGCGACGATCGAGTCAGTGTCTTTTTCCGAATTTGCTGCACGAGCCTCTTGAGCCCTGAAACATGGCGGCTGATATGACCGAAATCCTGCCAATCACAGCTGATGACTGCACTGGACCTTCTTTCTGCCCAAGCCAAGCCGCCCGATGACATCAGGTCTGATGATTCGCTTCAACTCGGCATCTCGATCTTGCTGCTGCACCATCGTTTTAAATGAGCCCAGGCTCAAGCGCTGGTACGAACTGACACGGCGTGCATGGGGCATAGCTTGTCCCACTATCGCTTCGACAAGGAGGCGATGGAGCAACTTCTTCAGTTGCTTGAAAACTGCCAGCACAGCCTTGAGGGCCTCAGGTAGGTAGCGGACCTTGCATCCTATTTCCTTTCCTTGCCAGTGGCCAACTTGGCAGACTCATTTCACGTTACACCCCTATCTGTTGGCAGCATTGATGATTGTACTCATGTGCAAGAGGATGATATTGAAGACGTATTGGGCATGCTGCGGGACTGCTCGTCTCTGCGGCACCTCAGGTGAGTACGCGTACCTCGCCCATGTTCAGGCGCAAATGCTGATTCACTTTCCAGCCAACGGATGACTGAAATCCCGGCTCGCTCTTGTGGCACCACAGCCTCTCGGGACTTACCCTGACCGAGAATGCTGTCGGCTTTGTGGCCGACTTTTTGACGGAATCTGCCAACCTTGAAATCCTTGCGTACGTGTCATCGACGTGGCGCATTCCAAAACCTTCTTTTTTTTTTTTTTTTTGAACCTCACAACCCTTGCTAAAACCAACGCCTATCTTAACAGACTGAGCCGCAACTACTTGACGCGAAGCCACATGCGCCCACTGCTCAACGGCCTGATGCACACGACCAGTCTGAGTGTGCTCGAGTAAGTATGGAATCCAAAACTTAAGATCATGGTTGTCGAAAAGAGGGAATGGAAGCCCCCCCGAAGAGAGAGAGGGAAAAAAAAAACGCAAGAGGAAGCAATGGCTGGTGAATCACCTCACACACTGCACGAGGTAACGATTTCTCAAATATGCTTTGCTGGCGCTGCTCAGCCTATCACGCAACTGCTTGACTACCAAAGATGTCCTTCAGCTCTGCGACATATTGCAGTTCAATACGAGCCTTCATGTGCTTGAGTGAGTTCCTTTTAAGAACGCTTTTGAGCAATTCTGTTCACCCGTGTCTGCCGGTTGTCCTCCATCGAGCCGACTGATGCCGGATACACTGGTGCTTGCTTGGTTTAGTGTTCAACGCAACCCAAGCATCAGCATTCAATCCAGGGTGCATCTGCTACGCGTGATGGTTGAACGCGAAGGCACCTTAATCTGTGACAACATGAATGTCGTGCGCCTCCTCCTTCAGCTTGAGACGCAGCCGAGTATGGAAGACTTAGAGTACGTAGGCCGTTCGCGTTGACTGTCGCAGAGCACATGGTGATCACAAAATCAAGTCGAAGGGGAAATTGTACGATACATGGAACAGAAGCAGCACAAGCTTTTAGTAAGCGTGTTTGGCGTGCAATCATCTTGCCTCGTGCTCACTTGTACCGCTACCCATGTACTTGCCACCGTAGCCTATCACAAGCAGACTGGTTCATGGACACATCCTCATGGAAGTACTTTGCCCTCGAGCTCAAGCAACATGAGACCCTGGTCAGCCTGAAGTATGTGCGCCCTCGTTGAGGGTATTTTCTATGCGCTGTGATTTATTGTACCTATGCAAGGTCAAAGACCTCAGCTGAAAACGGCCGTTTTGTTCGATCATGTCATCCCATGTCTTTAGCTTGAGCGGCTGTGACTTGAAGCCCACAATCGTTCGCGCCATCGCTGCAGCCCTCAAGCACAATGCTTCGGTGGAGAGCCTCAAGTACGATGGGGTTTTAAGATGGCCGATTAGAAGATGCTGCTAGATCTCATCCTCTTCAAGCCTTTTCGGTGGTCCCTGAATACCTGCCCGCATCTTACACTTGCTTTGTCGGTTTTGCTGTTTTTTTAAATTGGCTTTCCACCGCAAATACCTAGCCTTTCACGCAACCCACAAGGCGTTCGCACCTCATGCAAAGTGCTTTGCCAAAGCTTGATCTATCACAAGAAACTCAAGGTAATTTGACAAGTCTGTGCGCTGCTGAAGATTTCACGCAAGCCTCCTAACCCTGCTCTCTCTCTCTCTCTCTCTCTCTCTCTCTCTCTCTCTCTATCTCTCTCTGTGTGTATTGCAGCATTTGAAACTCAATGGATGTGATCTCGGAGTTCATGAGCTGGAGCTGGTCTCAACCCTGGTGGCCGAGCACCCCGGGCTTGAATATCTTGGGTATGAGGTTGTCCAGTTCACCCACAACAACAGAGATGGGCAGGAACCATAATACCGCGAGTTGAGCGCGAAAGCAAGCACCCACACCAAAGTCTTGACCAACTGTGTCTTACACTCTTTAACGGCGTGGCTGTTACGACCGCTAGCTGAAGGACAATGAT